TATGATCACAGGATATTACATAACCTGTAGTTCTTTCTATTAATAATCGTACTAACATTGTTCTAGCACAAATTGGCATTCCTATCAAGTAATGTCCCTACGGACACCGCCGAACTTTTAAAAGTCAATACGTCGCTTTAATACATAAACTTCGTGTAAATTCTATTTTCGTAGGTAGAACAAAACCTTATTGTGTTTTCTGTCCCTTTATAAACTGCGGGCATTTACCCGACCTTTACTTTCATACTGGAGGCTAAATGCCACACAACAGGTAACAAATATTGTTTAGAACCGAAATGTACAACATTTATATTTAATTAACATTAAAATACCTAAAATATTGTTTAACAATGTATCAAAATATACACAGGTGGTCCTGTATAAGTGGCGCAAGGAGGCGCGGGAGCTGGGTCGGTGTCTCGAGACTCGAGAAATCGATGATCGGAAATCCCAACTCCGCCAGGTCAGTACCCGAGACGGCGTGCGGTTTTAGTCGGTTCGAGTCCGACATGCCACCGACAGGTGGTATCCGAGGGGATTTCCGCACGGAAAAAAAAAGGTGGTCTTTATGTTTACAGTTTTCTAATTAATTACCTCATGTCCGACTAAATAATGGGGCAAGGTTATATTGTTTGACGTTGGACTATGAAAATCATTTTTATAAAAGTAAGTGCATATAAAACGGAGAATGTAAACGTTCAACATTTAGAACGCAGTCCAATGGAATTGACGACGTCATAAAAGTAATAAGGTTTATAGTTCTCCAGTCTTTATGGATTTTCAAGGAGACTGGCGGCGGCTAGAGGTTAAAGATATTACGCTGATTTAAATATATACTACCTAAGACTTTGAGATAATCATAAAATAATAGGGTATTTTTATACTTTCTCACTTATCCACGCTTCTGACTTCTGGACACGGAATAGATCTCGAATTTGTAAAATTGCTCAGCAAAAGATTTATGTGCTGAAACAACAACTGCCTACTACTATCTGTCAGCAGTGCTGAAGCTGCCTTGGTTGTTTAACGTTTCCATGACAAAGAAGTATGAGAGAAGAAAATCAGTACAACCACATTTACGTTTAAAAGACTCGAAAAACCTGGCAGCTTCAGAATATGTATGTATAATACTGACCGCTGAAATCTTATACAATTCATATTAATTTTTACACCCGTTCAAATATAAATTCTATTACCCTGTGATAAATATTGAGACACATATGTTGTATTATATGGACATAACGTTGGCCTATATTATATCTAAATAAGAAATATAAAAATTGTGTTTAAGGTTTACTGTTTTTTTTAATATTTAAACTAGAAGATTATCTATCAGTCAACCTATGTTTGATGCAGAGAAAATGGCTTTGGTAAATTGCTGACTGTCAACCATGACTAAGGTTATTAAAAAAGCAAAAGGTATGTTAGTGTCTAGTCTATTTTATTAAACTATTCTGTACGTGACCAATAGTAATGTTAATACGTCCATGTTTCGATTTTGAATAGTTGTGGCAAGTGTGACGTTATTGCGCATTCGGGACGAAATAAATATTTTATAGGCGGAGTTATGGAACGAGACAACAGCGAAGCCTAGCTATTAACGATATATATTTTTGGCCTATAATCAGTGACAATAATCATAAATATTGTGTCTTTGCAGACGACTTAAGATTTTCATTTAAATTTTCTATAATCGCATCTTAATTGAAATAATATATTGAATAAGGAAAGTACATAAAAAACGAATTAGCCTTACAGCAGTCGCATATGATTGCACATCATTTTGTACATAATACATGTGTATATAATACAAAATGTCATTTCATCTGACAGGCGGTCATCTCTAGCACCGCGTGCGCTCATTGGTCAATTCGAATATGCGCGATGCCTCGGCTCCCGTTACACACTTCCGTCCCTTCTCTTCTTCCACAGATTGTAGGAAAGAGAGACGAAATATGTTTTACATCAAAAAACACAGTAACTTTAGAGTCACAAGTGCGTTGCCACCCTTTGAGTCTATCCCTTTAGAATCAGGGCGAGAGGGGTTCCTTCGGGGGCAGGAAGGGAAAATCGGGGTACCCACACAGGATCATACAAAAAAAATGTATATAAGTATTCTATCAGTCAATCTAGCTTTCGTAGTTCAAGCTTTGATTAGATTGAAACTAGATGACGTTGTGTGTTAGATGTCCGAAAATATTAAATATTAAAAAAAATACAACAATGCCGATCCTGTTTGATGCTGATGTTCTCGACGTAAATACGTAGGCTACAAATAAAGGTGAACACTGAACCTTATCAAACACTGGTACAACTTTGAGTAAATTCTCACGTTCATTACTGTGGCACGTGACTTGTATGCAACACGTAAATATCAATATCACGCAACCGCACCAATGCACTTGTGGTCGGTCTCTCTCGTAATATTTCAACTATATTGATATTATACGCTTTATTCTCAACTAGTTCGCAGTTACGTACTTATGCATTAAAGTTTAAAATACCTCATGAGATCTATATTAAATACTAGCTGACCCGCGCAACTTCGTCTGCGTCTTTCAATAGTAATAAATTTTCTCAGTTTTTGAAACATTCTTCATTGGTGCTCCGCTCCTATTAGTCTTAGCGTGATGATATATAGCCTTCCTCGATAAATGGGCTATCTAACACTGAAAGAATTTTTCAAATCGGACTACATTATCTATCTATGAAAACAAGAAGAGATTACAAAATACACATGGGCCAAAATGATGATAAATCACAGTGAACTGTGATTTATCATTAGATTTTTGCGTACGTAGGTTAGGATTGCTATTGCTAGGTAGCTTAGACGCTATTTAACAGTAAATCTAGTATTTTTCACTTAATATATAGGAAATTGTAGCTATATAAAATAAAATAATTTTATGTTTTATCTGTTAAATAGGCGAAATAGGGTCTTTATGCATCGTCTGCAAATAGCTTACTGGCAATTACCCGTGAGTAGGTAGTAACCCTAACTTACGTACGAAAAAATCGAACGATATATCACCGGTCATTCACAGTTCACTGTTATTTTGTTTCATGCCTATTACAAACCCATGAGACCTTTTAAAGAAACACATTCTATCTATGAGCCACTGAACCAAGAACACTATAAGAGTGTGCTTGACTTAAGAGAGGTGGCCCGATTAAGCAACAAGCTAGATAATTATATAGGAATATTTATAAATAGATTGTTAAGGAAGCAGACTCCGAGCAAAACAGAAAAGGAATGAAGAATCTGAGAACTTTCGTACAACTTCTCTTTATAACTCCTGAACAAATTAAAGTTTTTTTTTTATCAGCAAGTTATGAAAAAAAAGAACTAAAAAGTCACAATTACCCTTTGCAATAAGACGACGACGACTGGATGGCGTAGTGGTTTGTGTAATGGACTGCTATTCCAAAGGTCGCGGGTTCGATTCCCGCTCAAGTCAAACATTTGTGTGCATGAACATTTGATGTTTGATTTGGTCTGGGTGTTTCTATGTATAATATGTATGTATTTACAAAAAAAAAAGTATATATGTATTTATATCAGTTGTCTAGTACCCATAGTACAAGCTCTGCTTAGTTTGGGACTAGATGGCGTTGTGTGTATGTGGTAGAATATATTATATTATTATATTATATTATATTATTTCAAGAAGATTTTACGATAACACGAAATAAAAGCTTACACGTACTTCAGTGAAATAAATATGTAAACATCTAATTAGGTCGTTGACACGTGACTCTATACAAAGGGTCTCGGGGGAACCACTTGCCAAGAAATATCTGCTGCGGCTGTTGCGGCTTTGTGAAACACATTCAGTTTTTACTTTAGTACGTACCCCCGCTCATTTTGATATCTTATATATCTGACAGATTTATTGTGCAATCTTATTTTAAGGCTGGGGTTTAAACTTTGTACCAAAAACGCCATTTGGTAAACGAATAGTTCAAGAGTTACTTGTGTAATTATAAATCCGACGGATATATCATAAACATGCTTTTTTAGGTTCAGGTTGATGTTAAAATAAATATATCATCAACAGCCTTTACTAGTCCACTGCTGGACATAGGCCTCTCCTTAGAAAGGAGGTTTTGGCCTGCTATACCACGCTAGCCAGACGGGTTGGTATAAGGTTTGTTTGAAGTTGTATTTCAACTATTATTTCATAAACTTGTTAAATAACACATATACATTTCTAAATCAATTCTTAAACAAGAAAAGTTTAGTGTAAAATCTTCTAAGTGCTTAAACGTAACGATATTAAGAGAAGTGACTCTTTGTGTCAACACGCAGATAATTTATTTACGCATTAATACAATTGATGAGAAAAGCGTGTGATTCAACATTAGCGTCACGAAAGCTGACAAATGAGTCAGAATCAAGCGCGATTACTAACATACATAAGTTGTTTTCACTACTTTTACAATTATAATGTGTGTTTTAGTGAAAATAAACAAGTAGAGTACTAAAAACTTTTAACGAGAGAGAACAATTTAAATTAATTAATTGGGTCGTACAATGAACAAACGCTTAGGGTTGTCAAACAGTAATAAAATTAGAAAACTTGAATTCGGAATGCAATAAACGCGAAATTCTGGTCCAAAGTAATCATTCTTATTGTTAGGTTTTAAAAATTATATGTCAATGGTCCAGGGTACATGGTCCTTTGAGCCAGATTTAGTTTTTCTTTTAGTAATATATTATACAGATACAGACATTAGTGTCATTTTTTAAATACCTTTTTAAATAGAAATAAAACCTGTGTAGCGGGGGACTTTACAAGTATACATGAAACGGACACAAAGAACACCCAGACTCAGAACAACAATTTGTGGATTACACAAAGTCCCATGTGTGAGGATCGATCCACAACACCAGCGTAGTAGGACGCCGCGCGGTGATCGCTGCCCGACTTAAATCACTACGCTATGCGTTCAGTCAAATTCTGTATTTTGAGAACCACATTATGAAAGGCAATACTCACTTTTCTTCTGCAGTTTCTTCAACGGGCACCTGTGGCGTGTGTGTGGATAAGTCTGGCAGTTCAACTGCCATAGTGTCCATCGCCATGATTGCACTATTATATTAAACTTTATGTCCTTATGACCACGAACATAAGTCACTATGTAATTATTATTTAGCGGAAGTTTATTTTACTCTTCATACAATAACCTGTCGGAAATTTGGGTTTAGAATCGTTTGTTATAAGCCGAAGTTTGTTTGAACATCTTAGATGTTGCCTTTGACGAAAAAGTTTTGAATACGCTGTTTTCTAATTATATATCATACCAGCTGAGACCCGCGGTGTTACCCGCGTTTGTTGTTATAACCGCGGGCAACGCCGTGGAGCGAAGCTAGTCTAAAAAAAGTAGCCTAAGTTATTCCTTATGTCATCAGCTATCTGCCAGTGAAAGTCCCGTCAAATCGGTCCAGCCGTTCCAGAGATTACCCGGAACAAACAGACAGACAGACAAAAATTGTTAAAAATGTTATTTTGGCATATGTACGTGTATACATACATATGCATTTAGTAAAAAGCGGTTATTTTAATATTACAAACAGACACTCCAATTTTATTTATTTGTAGTATATAGATTAAAATACAGCAAGAAATTTTAACTTAGTAAACATCATCCACAAGAAATCAGATATAAAAAAAAATTGTAGGGTGATCAATCATTACAAATTTATGCTCATCTTCCAAATGTAACTGCTGTCTATATTATAATGATAAATATGTCTCATGACGTCAAATTCTAATTTTTTACGATTGCGATGCACAAAACCAAATATAATACGCACAATGGCTACACATATATATTATTCTATCAAGTATATTCGGACTTTTGGTTCTAATAATAAAATCAGCAAACATGATTTTGCTCACGTCTTCTTTGGATTTTATTACCGTCTTACAATATTTGGTGCGTGTCAGACGAAACAGATTAGCAGATGGAAGCTGACATAAACTCATTATCCCCAGTTACGAATATCTACTTTACTAGTAACTAATACGTACAGAGGTTGATATTTAAAGGATACATACTTATAAAAGAAAATATGACATGGTTGTTATAGTAATAAAAGCCAAATGGTAATAAAAGAAAGGAGTGCGTGAAAGAGGACGTCTTGTGAAGGAAAGGGAAGTAGACAACCCATTGCACCAACCCCAAATAAATTACGGAAAGGGGTTTAAAGATGATGATGATAGGAACTTGAGTTCAGGGAATTTTTAACTTTGACGTATCATCTATAATGCCTTTAATCTTGGGGTATATGACACCTGATACGGATCACTGGCTAAGGGGAATTTCTTATCCTTTATGGTGTCAATGTATTAAGTCAAAAGAACTTGTAATTGCAAAGATGATGAAGTGACAATTACGTCAATAATGACGTCACAATACCGCCCAGTTCAGGCTTTATATGTATTGTGTTAACCGTTTCACATGCCTGTACTTTTAGTCATAGTTAAATATGTGTATCCGTACTTTGAAGAACGTAAACAAACCTCTGTTTTAATATATATTGGGAAGCGCGCAATTTCCGCGGGGTAGCATTCATATTACCTATTTATACTATGCTATAAATAGTACCACTACGCTCATAAAACACTACCAACATTCCAGGAATATGTAAACTTGTATACCATAAATTGCGTTCCGGTAATCTAAAATAGAAAATGTTTTTCAAGAACACCTCTGGAAACGAACAAAACAGACGGATTAATTATATGAAAGTCAGTTCCGCTTAAAAGCCCAGTATTTATTGTTACGAATGAATGAAGTGAATGTTTTTATTAAAAAAGAAGACCTAAAGATAGAAACAAGTTGAGCCAAATTACTTTTAATCTCATCGAGATATATAATTTAAGTTCTTATTTTAAATTTGTAAATAAAATTCGGGAACGTTTAACTTGACATGTGACGTCTCGGATTTCCAAAAATCTAATGCAAATTATGTTTTAATTTATGGATCATTAATATGTTTTAAATTATTACAACATACGAGTACTTGTATTTTGTATAATATAGGCTCTTAAGTACACTAGATACACCAAATTCTTAATCTAGATTCTATACTTTTTCACTTTTATTTAACGCATTTCAAAACAACAGTATCAAGTACATTTTACCGTTGGTATATATTTGACTCAATGGATAATATAATCAATACGTACGTAAGGACAAACAAAATATTTCATGTTATTATTAGACCAATCACGAATCGAACTACGCCGATAATATTCAGTGTCCTTGTAATCCGTCAGTTATTGTTTTATATTATAGTTAGTGAGTTATTACTATAAACCTTTTTTCTTGTTTGAGAATAGTTTTTTTTTTATATTATCTGTTACAAGTGGAATATTAGTCTTTGTACTGAAATATTTTACGAGTTTTCGTGTATTTTACGGGGATCCCTATGCATATCTAGCAGAAGCTTATCTGCCTGCGATCAAAATTGCACTCTATTTGTTTTTGACGTAAGTTTTATTTTCTTTAAAAAGAAGACTATTATTAACAAAGCTGTATTATTAAATTTTGGCTCAAAGTTTGGTTTTCCTTTAATAGCATTACCACACACTTTAATTGTAAATGAATAATAGTATAAGGGGTAAATCATAGAAGGTTCTGTATTTATGAATGACATTGCTATTTTTTGGACGGAATCTTTTTGTAACCATACTGGCGGTTATTTTATTTTATACACTATACTTGTCATACTTTTTTAAATATAAGGGAGTGACAAAACGCGGAAGGTGAGAGATAATAGTCAGATCTCACCGGTAGCATTGTAACATGGTGTAAACATCATTTTCATCACCTTGACTATCATTGGACATGATTATGTACGTCATAGATTAATGCTATTGTTGTGACGGAAACTGGAAATTAATTCCGACTGGTCACTCGGTATTACATACGCAAAATTCGAAAATATCAGTATCAACCATTTTAGACGAAAGCGTTAAATTCTAAGCCTCCTATGTAGACACTGTGATATACTGAAAGTGCCAGAAAATAACCGAGGGAATCACTTTTGGGATGCAGTCAAGACATCCTGCATTCTAACGAAAAAATTGACAAATAAAACAAGGTTAGCTGTGGGATGATGTACTCGTAGTTAAATTTTCCACCTTCTTGTCAGAACAGAGCTTTTAAAACGTATGTATTGTATACCTCAACATCTATTGAACGGATACATGTCAAGTTAGTGACGTTCCAGGTGTGTGCCCTTACCGCAGGCGATTCAGGCGCCGGAGGTCGCAGAACGACCTCCGTCCTCCATAAGCGCAGGCCTGGGGGTGACAGGTGAGGCCATCTGTCACCCTAGCTGAAGCAGACCGGGGTGGCGGCGAGCGCGTTTCGAAGCGCGCTCGCTTCCAGGGAGCAGAGGGAACATGGGGTTCCCACACGGGGGGCTCGTCTACCTGTTGTTGTAGATGGCCCGAGGTATGTCGGGGCACCAGGGACTTCATTTCTAGGGTATACCTGGTTCCCCGGCTATTAGTACCCGACGACGACGGCGTGCGGTTTTAGTCGGTTCGAGTCCGACATGCCACCGATAGGTGCTATCCGAGGGGATTTCCGCACGGAAAAAAAAAGTGTGTGCCCTTCAAGCTTTTCATGATAAATACGAAAACAAGTATCGCACTGAGGAAATAAGTAATGACACACGCTAACGTATTGATGAAGTAACTTTATTTTATTAATTATGTGCAAGATTTGGATATGAAGTGGACTTCATTTACGCTAAATTGTGCTGGCATTCAAACCATTCTTTCTTTCTTTAAAAAGACAACTCCCGCACTAGGAATAAATCCTGTGTCGCGGGGGACATTCTTAGAAATTGTTGAATCTCAGGTTCGAGGTATATTGTTTTGCAATATTATGATAATGTTTTATAGGAACATATATAGCCAGCATACTAAAACAGTTAATGTTGTAATCTAAAACGCTCATGATGGATGATCCAATTATACATTAACATGTGAATGTTACTATTTAAACTTCTTTTCTTTTTTTTATGTGAAAAAGTTGCAGCGGCAAATAGCCGTGGGGGAGCCATGCTTCGGCACGAATAGGCCGGCTCGACCGGAGTGATACCACGGCCTCACAGAAAACCGGTGTTAAGCAATTCTTTCGTTGCCTTTCACGAGTGAGTGAGGTTACCGGAGCCCAAATCCCCCCTCCCGCTGACTCGACCGGGAGGGACTCCAAGGACTGTAACGCACTTGTGACTTTTGAGTTGTAGGTGTCCATGAGCGGCAGTAGTTGCTTACCATCAGGTGACCCATCAGCTCGTTTGCCCCCTTATACCATAAAAAAGGGCCATCATAGTTACTGCACCTTACTTACTGATACAATTTTTAACTACAAACACAGTAATTAAAATTAATGGTAATAAAAAGTGGTTGAGAATTTTTTGTCACGATTTTTCTCAGTTACTTTGTCTATTGCATTCCAAATTAGAATTTAACGATTACTAAAAGTATAAGTTTTACTTTGAAACGTAAATATTAGTTACTTATTGCGTTACCATTACTAAACAAAATCCGACAGACTTATACATACAATGACAGGTTGCCAACAAACAGTGATTTGATCAATTACTTACCTACGATAAAATGTTACTAATACAGATTTTTAAAACCAAATTTAAGTCCATTTAATCTTGACCATAAGAGTTTGTCGGTAAAGCTTGAAGTCCTCTAACAGACAGAATGAATGTGTAGATCTCATCACAGCCGGTAAAGAATGACTTCCTCTGACAGTCAGAAAAATATGTGTAGATATCTCATGATTACTAAATAAGTAACTAATTTAGCAAACAAAGTATCCATTTGACCATCGCGATTTGATCAGCGGTGCTTAATCCATACTAATATTATAAATGCGAAAGTTTGGTTGTCTGTCTTTCCGTCTGTTACCTCTTTACGCTTAAACCGCTGAACCGATTTAGATGCAATTTGGTACAGAGATAGTCCGAGTTCCGGGAAAGGACAAAGGGTAGTTTTTATCCCGGAGATCATACTTTTTGGAAGTGAAAAGGGGGGTGGAAATTTCTAT